CTACTCAGGAAGGTGGGGTAGTGCTGAGTTATAAAAAACAACCCAGATGCAAAAGAACCTCTTCAGGAAACAATCCATATGCAAAAGAACCTCTTCAGGAAACAGCCAATCCATATACAAAAGAACCTCCTCAGGAAAGCTCCTCCATTAGCATGATTCACAGCCTGGAGAACTCCTACAAGATACTGACTCAGCCTTACCCCACCTTCCTGAGTAGATATAAATTACCTGCCTACCATTTTTCATCTCACCTTGACACAGAGAGGACTCCATCTTTCCTCAGTTGGTGCAGAATGCGCAGACCGGAGACCGCAGGACACCAGGCAGAACACGCCTCATTCCCATCCTGCAGTCACTCCCATTGGCTACCGATTGGTTACCAAGCTCCAGTCAAAGTCCTGGTGGCCACCTACAAAGCCCTGAAGAGCCTTGGACCTGCAGGGCTGCCTCCGTCACGCGGCGGCTCTGCTGCGGCACTTGGGTGAGAGAATCCAAGCAGAGCTCTCTCAAGGTGCCACTCGTCAAGGGGGCAAGATCGGCAGCTGCCCCTATCCTGGGCATGCTCCGTGGTGGCCCCCACCCTAAGGAACAGCCTGTCTGAAGGGGTCAGGACAGGAGGGCCCCCGTGGTGACGCTTCTGCCATTCTGCTGAATGTGCCAAACAGAACGTGTTCGGTGAGAGAGGAGGACCACGGCAGAACGGAACGGCCCCAGAGAGCCGCTCTACAGTGCACAGGATTGCAGTTCACTGTGATGTTTATTGCAGGTTATCCCCTGCGTTTAAATGCTTGGCCTTGTCCCTGGCACTCCACTTTCCACATTGTTTATAGCATACCTTGCCTTAGAGAGCTTGTGGTGCTCACCCTTCCCCAATTCTGTACTCCCAGTCCTGTTGTCCTGTCAGACAAAAGCCAGTTTGGTGCTAGTGGGTAAGTGCAGGCCGACTCTGATCTGGGAGAACCGGGTTTGATTCCCCCACTCCTCCTCCACTCGCACCTGGCTGGATGACCCTGGGCAGGCCGTAGTTCTGACAGGAGCTGTCCTTGAAAAAGAGCAGTTTCTGTCAGAGCTCTCTCAGCCCCCCACCCACCTCCCAGGGTGTCTGTCTGTCGTGGGGAGGGGAAGGGGGAGGGAAAGGAGTCTGTCAGCCGCTCTGAGACGCCGAGTGAAGGGCAAGGGGTATAAATCCAGTCTCCACCTCCTCCTTTCCCCCCTGATTGTACCGCTTCATACCCCGCAATCCACCTTTTGCCCCAAAGCGGCTAACGTTGATCTCCTCTCCTCCATTTCATCCTCACAACGACCACCCCGTGATGCTGGTTAGGCGGAGAGGGTGTGACTGGCCCCCCCAGGGCGTTTCCGTGGCAGAGCGGGGGGTGGGTGGGGTGGGCTGAACCTGAGCTGGCCACTGCCCCCCACCAGCCGGACAGCTGCGAAGAGACAAGGCCGGACAGGCTGCCAGCTCCCTGGGAAGGCGCTCCCCTCTCCCCGTGGCCTTCTCCAGGTGAACAGGCCCACCTCCTCCGGCCTCTCCTCACGGGGCCCCACCTCAGGAGAGCGGTGCTCAACCCCCCTCCCCCCTGGGGGGCCACCACAGGGAAGGCCCCCTCGGCGGCTGGGAGCAGAAGGGAGGGGGAAGAGGCGCCTGGCGACCACGTCTGGTGGGAGAGGGCAGGGAGAGCGCCAGAGCCCGCCCCCCCCGGTCACAACGTCCCACCAAGGAGCCGACGAGGAGCCTGCACTGAGCACCGCCCCCCCAAAAAAAAGACAAAGCAGAATTAATTTCAGAATACTTTAT